AAAGCTGGAAGTGGTGCTGTGACTCAAGTGGTAGAGCGCTAGTCTTGAACTGAAGAGCTGAGGGACAGCGCCCAGACCCAGAGCTCAGGCCCCACAACCAGACCCAAAAAAAAAAAAAAAAAAAAAAAACAATTAACGACCCAATAAGCTAGAAGTGGAGCTGTAGCTTAAGTACTAGACTACCAGTCCTTGAGAGAGAAAAAGGGACAACACCAGGCTGTGAGTTCAACTTCTAGAATTGCACACTCAAGAAAAGCCAGAAAGCTGGAAAGCTGGGTGCCGGTGGCTCACGCCTGTAATCCTAGCTACTCAGGAGGCTGAGATCTAAGGATCATGGTTCAAAGCCAGCCCGGGCAGGAAAGACCGTGAGACTCCTATCTCCAATAAACCACTAGAAAACTGGAAGTGTAGCTCAAGTGGTAGAGCGCTTGCCTTGAGCTGAAGAGCTGAGGGACAGCGCCCAGGCCCAGAGTTCAAGCCCCATGACCGACAAAAAACAACAGGGCCTACAATAAGAGACAAGACTTGGCAGGGCCTGTCCAGCCCAAGTGGCTAAATATTCAAGGTTTTTCCACCCACTGAAATCCTGCTTGCATGTATGGGCCCAGAAGAATTTACTCCAGGGTTAGGACAGAGGGAGACTGTGGAAAGCAGATGGTTTGGTATGTCAGTGTATTGCAAAACTGTGCTCATCTGCAGGGCCTTCCGAGAAATAAATGCTGCCTTGTGTTTCAGGCTTTAGTGGCACCATTTCCAGAAAGTAACCCTATTCTCTACACCCTGGCCTCTGTGAGACTCACCCTACCCGCCCCCCCTCACCCCATTCAAAAAGCCCTCTCTGCAAACAGCCCTTTCCCCTGGCCCACCTGCTCCTGGCCGCAGCTCCATGGTGCAGTAGCCATCAATCCACTGATAGCAGGGAAAGGGGACAATAGTGCCGTCGGGTGTAGTGACTGTAATGTGGCTGCAGTACCAGGAATCTTTGCCGAAGAACGCATAGCGCTCCTTGTCTAAGCGTAGCAACAGGAGTTCTCCCAGCTCGGCTGAGCAGCGCACCTTGTATTTCTTTACCTGGAACAACCAGGAGAGCAGAGGCCATGCAAGGTGCACTGATGCTTCAGCTTTTGCAGCAGCTAACCCATGTGGGCCCATTGTATGAATAACAAGGTGATCATTCTTCCAGGTGCCACCCCAAATATGTGAATGGAGATGGCAATCGGAATTCTCTGGCCTCCTGGTCCAGCAGAGCAACCTGTGTAGGACATCAGCAAACAACCCTAGGGGCTGTTGAAAAAGGCAAACAGATCCCCTCCAGAGAAGAGGAAACCCAGGCTTAGTGAGGAAGCAACTAGACCAGCCTACCACCAACAATGGGAGGAACCAAGAAGCCAACTGAACTCCTGAAGTTGCCCCTGCACAGCCCTGCCTAGGTAGGTTTATCACCCCTAGAAAAGGCAGGGACCACAAAGGCCTGGTGAAAGGTCACAGCACACCTCGTCAGTTTGGCAGGATGTGATGAATCGGCTTGGATGACTCTCCTCTTTTCCGGGATCCCCTGCCTGTGTGTCCTGCCCCTCAGAGGTCCTGCCTGTCACTTTTGGGTACTCACCGATCCCTTGGCGAAGTCCCTGCCCACTCGATCCAGCCGCTGCTTGGGACTCTCACCACAGGTGCCCACCAGCGTGGCATAGATGTTGTCCATTGTGCCAGCTTTCAGGTAGGAACCGGTAGTCACACAGAGGCTGTATACTGCCATGGATGGGACCCACACGGGACACACAGCAGCTGCTGGCCTGGAGTTGGTGAGTGACAAGCCCGACAAGCTGCTTGGTGGAGGGCCAGGAGACCGGTATGTCTGAGGACAGCTGCCTTTAGGATGCTCCTGGCCTTTCTCTCTCTCTCTCTCTCTCTCTCTCTCTCTCTCCTCTCTTCTCTCTTTCCAGAACTCCGGGCTAGGGCTTCTTCTCTCCTCCGCCCACAGTCTGACTGGCAGCCTAATACCTGCTTGCCTGCCTCTGACACAGCCGGTCCCTCTGGGTGGCTCACCCAGATGAGTATCGGGAATGTGGATCCAGTGAGGAGGCAGGGAGGGACCAAATGGAGAGAGGTGACGCCTGTGTAATGGGGACACTGTCTTCTGCCTGACAAGAGGCCTAACTGATGCCAAGGGGCTCTTGCTCACCCCTTCCTCAATTGCCCCAGACCCTTTCCTACTGCTTCCCAATCAGAACAGCACAGAGCATTGAATTCCTATGACTCATGCGTGTCAGTCACACTATACAGAGAAGAGCTGCAGAATCTGGTCATAGATCACACATGACCGAGAGCCACAGGTGAGCCACACCTGCATCCCAGCTCAGGTAGGACGGTAAAGAACAAATCACCACCACCACCACCACCACCACCACCACCCCCACGCACACACACGCACCCCCTCCACACGCCCAGATTGCCCCGAGTTTGGTTCTCCCAAATCAGTTTCTTCCTAGGACTAGGGCCGATCAGATGAACAAAGCAGAGTCCCACATAGAGCATCAGGAGGCCCCACGTGGCATTCTCTCCGCTATCGGTCCTCGCTGAAGCTACAGGACCGTGGGCAGGAGCCCGAATGCCAGACTCCGGGATCTGGCTCTCGGGGGGCCTGGGAGGACGGTCTCGGCTCGTAGGCCGCAGCGGCCCCCTGTGGCGACTTGCGGCACCGCAGGATTCCAGCCTGCCGGGGAAACACGGCCAATTTCACCCGCTTCCCTCTGAGTGCTTGTCAACGCAGTATCTTCCGGCGGACACACTTCGTTCTCGGTTCCGAGAAGCTACGTGGCCGTACACAAACCTCTTTTTTTGGGAAAAGAGAAACTAAGTTTCTCCAGAGCCCGGATAGCTCAGTCGGTAGAGCATCAGACTTTTAATCTGAGGGTCCAGGGTTCAAGTCCCTGTTCGGGCGCTAGGGTTTTTCCTTGCAGCAACAACAAGCAGTCCTCTTGTTTTAAGGCAAGTTGGATTACACTGGGGACGTAGTTTCGGAAAGAAGGAATGACAGTCGAGGAAAAAACTAGGAGTGATAGACACTAGACTAATTTTTCTGCTAGCCATACTAAAGAGTAAACACAGACTAAACTTGATAACGATTTGCTTAATCCAATAGTATTTTAACTTGTATTTTAAAATTAGTATTTGAACGAATTCTGATCTTTTGTATAACATCCCGCCTTAGCAGATAATAATAAAAATTCATATTGCGGGTGTTTAGTAATGGTGTCTAAAACATACAGCAGCGGTTGTTCTGTTTTCTAGGAATGAAGAAATATGGGGGGGGAGGTTGCATGAAAAGGAAGACATACATACAGTAATGTATAGAATTGCCGAAAGCTGGAGCAAGCATCGGGTTCCATGGTGTAATGGTTAGCACTCTGGACTCTGAATCCAGCGATCCGAGTTCAAATCTCGGTGGAACCTTAGCTTTTGTTTATAGCCAATAACATTTTCTGATTTTATATATTACTGTTCTCTAACAACATCAGAGGATATGATCAAAAGAATTAAAAACTAGGATACAATCCTTCCATATTTTTATACTGGGCATGGGTTGATGGAACTTATAGCAGACCCTGAGGGAGAACTGTGAAAGATAAAAATTTGTAGACATGTTTAAAATGGAACTAGGCATGAAAATTATGCTAAAGCCCGTTTCGATTGTTGCTCGACCCCAGGAGCTCTAGGTTTGTTTCCGTTTGGAACTCATACGCAAATACACACTACGATCTCTTAAAACTAAGAGTCCTGTTCATACAAATCGCAGGTAGAACCTTGACAGCAATTAGAGTAACTTTGCTCAGGAGGAAAACTCTGGCCCTGGCAGCGGTGGGATTCGAACCCACGCCTCCGGAGAGACTGGAGCCTAAATCCAGCGCCTTAGACCGCTCGGCCACGCTACCTGCATGCAGAGCGCTTGTCCCTGCTCTCTTCCTAAGAGAGTAGAAGCTAGAAGTTAGCGTAGGGATATTAATTGAGTTTCTACTTCTATTTTTGTATACTTTCTATATACACGAATAGAAAAAAACATCGAGACCCGAAACCAAAGTCACAAGAAACGAGCGCAAGGAAATAGAAGCACACAAACATCTTCAACAAAACAGGTTTATTGGATGAGATCGTATCCGGAAGCGGCGTGCGCCAGACCCGGTAGCACCCCCCACGTGGGCAGCCGGAGCTTTGCGCTCGCTCGCCAGCTCGGGATCAGGTGCTCTCCTTCCTCGCCAACTCTCACTTCCACCTGGCTCACACCTGCTTTACTTCCCCGAGGGCCCCTGAGACCCTAATCTGGCGCTCCGGGTACGCCCCGCCCAATTTCCACGCAAACACTCCTCCGCCCTGCCCCTTTTCCAGGCTAGTACCAGTAAGCTTTGAGACGCCGCGGCCCACCAGGTGGCTCTGTGGCGCAATGGATAGCGCATTGGACTTCTAGAGACGAAAGAGCAATTCAAAGGTTGTGGGTTCGAATCCCACCAGAGTCGATTTTATTTCTGTTTTTCCTCTCAATGGCTTTGGTGTAAAAGAACCTCCTCCCTTCTCCCGATCCCTACCTCTAAGGCTTACAACTCTGCTTCACCTCCGCTCTGCTCTCTCCTCGTTACTTACCTGTATGCCCCAAGATTAGGGCCGAGGAGTGCTGGACTGCGGTGGGAGATAGAAGGGAAAGGACAGTGGGCGTGGACGCCGAGATAAAGGCAGGCCCCTTGCTCGGGGACACACGGGGATTGAATAACCACTTTATTCCATGCACTAGGGACTCGGGAAGGGACTGGGACTGGCCTGGGATAGAGGGTACAATCCTAGACACAGGGTCGTGGCGTAGGGAAAAGGGACAGGAACCAGGGATATATATATTTATATAGATACTCTAATATAGACCACATCTCACCCGCGCGCTGAGCCCGCGCGCCCCGCCGCCCTCCCCAACACCTCGCCCTCACGCCCGGGTCCCTCCGCCGCCCTCGGGCTGGAGTCTCTACCCCTCCCCCAGCCTCTGCCCCCGTCCCTCCAAAGCTCAAAGCTCAGGGCCAAGGTCTCCAGAAAGCGGGCGGAGGGAGAGGCGGGGCCTTGGGCGCCCCGTCTTGTCTGTAAGGCGGAGGTGGCGGCGGCAGCAGTCCGGTGAGGGGCGCTGGCGCGCCGGAATCCCGGGCGCGGGGGGAGCAGTGGGTTGGGGACCACGCGCAGCGCGGGCTAGGGGGGCCCTGGTGCACTGGGGGGCGCTGCTGCAGCGCCTGGCCAGGGCTTGGTGCGGCGGGGTCCAGCGTTGGGCGTGGCACTGGAGGCCTCAGATCTAGCGGCTCGGGCCGGGGCGGTTTGGGGCGCAGATAGCCTTGCAGCGCGGAGTAAAGCTGGGCGCGGGCGGCCGGGCTGGCGTCTTGCGCAAAGGCCGCCAAGCGAAGCAGGCACTCGCGGAAGCCGGATAAGTAGCAGCTGGCGAGCGCCTCGGCGTCCTGGGCTGGGAACCGGGGAACCCCTGGAGCCGCCGCGGCGGGTGCAGCCAGCGGGGACGACCGGTGGGCAGGGCAGGGCCCCAGCAGGGGTGAGGGAAGGGGCGGGGCGCGGAGATTACCGAGGTCAAACAGAGGCAGGAAGCCGGATGGATGGATCGAGGGGGGGGAAACGAGGGAGACACAGAGACAGACACGCGCAGGTGTTATTACCCAAGCCTGGGAGCCCAGCTTGCCCGCCCCCAAACCCGCCCCCCCCACCGCGGGGTCCGCCCTAGCTTCCCGGGCCCCATCCTCCGAGGGTCCCCCTCCCGCCCGCCCTCCCTCCGCAGCCCCACCGCCGCGTTGTACCCGGGGGCTCCACCCGGCTTCGCTCCCTCAAGTAGCCCACGGCGAACTCCAGTATCTCAGCTTTCTCTAGCTTCGGGTTCCGGAGGTTCTACAGGCGGGAGGGGAGGGCGCAGAGACAGAAAGGGGTGGGGAGAGAGGGGGAAAGTGGCAGGGGGAAGAAGGGAGGGGCGGGCACGGGAGCTGGGGGTGCCCCCGGAACGCACTTGCGCGCACGTGGAGTGAGATGACCAGAAAGGTCCTGTCCCCACCACCACCGCCACCATCACCGAGACGCAAATGCCCAACCCTACAGGATGGAACCAAAACTCAACGTGGAGCCCAGGGAGGGAAAAACACCGGCAACACTGAAGCTGATTGGGGGACAGAGGGGGCGACGACTTAGGGGACGGAAAGGGGACACTTAAAGAGACCCAAAGGGTGAGCTCGACCCACTCTGGGAGCGACATTTATAGAACCAGATGGGAAACGTGCAGACCCGCGGGAGAATGAAGATCTGAGAGCTAAAGGGGTCTAGGATGAGATTCCAGGGATGCGACAGGAAGTCGGCGCCTTGGGGCCAGGGTTGTCACCCCGATGTATTGTTCCTCCACCCCCAAAGGGAAGCTCCGAGACGCGGGAACAGGATGCTTGGGGGTCCGGGGCTGGAGGAGGGACTGACCTGGTCCCGGGTCCGCTCCAGCAGCAGCAGCCTCAGCTCTTCCAGGCTGCGGTTGATGCGGTCCCGGCGCCGCTTCTCCACCAGCGGCTTCAACATCTGTGACCAGTGGGAAAGGGGGCGCAGGCCGACCCCACCGAGACTCAGCGCGGCCGCGCCGGCGCCCCGATCCCACGCTGGGACAACCCCTGCGCATCTGTCCCCCAAGACTTGCCTGGGGCCCGGCCCATTCGATCCCTCTCTGCTCCCCATCCTCAGGACCTAGGATCGGTGGGGGGGAGGGACTCTCCTCCCCTCTCTCCGATCTGTTACATTCTCCTCTCGCTGTCTCTCCTGTCTCTCGTCCTTCCTCCTTCCCTCTCCCTGTCCCAGCGGAGAACTTGGGGTCCCTCTTAGAACCTAGGCAAGTGGGCAGGCTCAGAGTTGGCAGCCCTGCGTGTAGAAAAGGAGAGGCCCGGCTCGACCGCTCCGCTTCTTCTCCCTCAAACTCGTCTAGGCGGACACCCCTTCTCCGTGGGCTCCCCTAAAAATCTCCCACAGCTCTCAGAGGTCCGAGTCTCAGACCACCACCACCACCACCTCGAAACCAATGCCTTAGGGTCTTCTCCGCGAGACTGGCTTACAGCCCGAGCGCGCCGAGGACCCATCCTCCTGGCGCTTGGCCCCCCTCCAAGCCCAAAGGTGCTGACCCCGGTTACTCAACCCGGGGCCCCTGCTTCCGCCGCCCACGCGAGGCCTGCTCGGACTCTGCCCTTTTCTTCCTACTTTGCAGCCCCCCGCCATGATCCTGCTCGTCCAGGTTCACCCCCTGACAACCCTTCCCCATCCCGGTGTCAGGGCCCAGGTCCTGGGACAGGGACCTCTGCTCCCCCCCTCCCGCCCCTCACCTTGGGGCCGTCCCTATTCTCAGCTCGATCCCGGGTAACCATTGTTCCTCCGGACCCTGGCATGGACCGGGTCCCTGCCTGCCTGGATCCTTATATATTGCCACGCCGGGGGAGGAGGGATAGGACACGGTCCCGCCCCTTTCTGTCCCTGGACGCAGCCGGGCCAAGACCCCGACACGAGGCTCCCGGAAGGACCAGGAGTGAAAGGGGGAGGGGGAGGAGAGCCGGCCCCGGAGTGTGGGAAGCGAGGGGCGTGGGGCCCCGGCTGGTTGAAGGACCATAAGGCTGTATAATGAGGCGGGACCCGGCGAGCTGAAGAGAGGGGGGCTATTCGGAAGTGAGGGAGTTGAAGTGATTTGGGACAGGACTCACTTAGGGATGAGATTCAGAGTTCTAGAATTGCAGCGTGTGGGGGGGGGTGTCCACCAACACTGAAATAAAAGTTGACACCTTTAGCCTTCTAGACTGAATCTTATATACATCTCCCCTCAGATTTCCCTCTGGCTTAGCACCCGTGGAGCCATCCACGTGCTTGGCAGATCCTCCCGACTCAACTGGTGCTCTGCCTGGCAGTGGAGAAGAAACTGCTCTAAATCCACATATCATTCTCTCATATTTTCTCTCCCTCCCGCTCCCTCTCTCTCTCCTTCCCTCTCTCCCTCTCTGTCTGTCGGTCTCTCTCCCTCCTCCCTCCCTCTCTCTCTCTCCTTCCCTCCTTCCCATCTCTCTCTCTCTGTGGACCTGGGCACTGTCTTTGAGCTTTTGTGCTCGAGGCTAGTACTTTACCACTAGAGCCACAGCTCCACTTCCGAGGTTTTGGGAGTTTATTGGAGATAAGAGTCTTGCAGACTTTCCGGACTGGGCTGGCTTTGAATCATAATCCTCAGATCTCAGCTTCCTGTGTAGCTAGGATTACAGGTGTGAGCCACCCTCACCCAACTATCTTGAAGGAGTTGAACAAAGGGGTTTCAATTCAATATGTCAATTTAGGAGCACAATGCATCTTGATGTGCCCCCTCTATGTCCGTTTTTTTATTTGTCTCCCTCCCACACACATACACACACCTGCCTTCTGTCCTAGGCTTGGACAGCTCTTATCGATATGTGTGGGAGAGGCCCAGAGGCCCCTGCAGATCTAGTGAAAAGGATGTGTCATTAAGTAACTAGTATAGAAGCAGAGTGCTCCAAGGAAAGAATTTTCCTCCAGAATGGCCAGCCTGAGGAGAGATCATTCTAGGAAGAAGGAACAAGTCTTTAAAGCATGCATACGAGGGGACATCTTTTCACTTACATGCATTTGGTTTAAAACTAAAATTTAGTGAGCAAATGCACTCAATATATTCAATGTTCATTATTTAAGAATTGAAGTAGTAACTTGGGGGTAGGGATGGCAGGGGAGGGAAAATTTTAGAACTATGACTGATGAAACACCTCGCATTATGCCAGAACGGCTTACTTCTGGAACTCCACACACCCCCGTGATTGTAGAAGAGAAAGGAAGAATGCATTTTCCTAAAGAAACAAGAAAAGGGGTACAAAGGGAGGGATCCATACCCACCTCACACCAAGAGCACGACCCTCTGCAAAGGATGGAGTCTTGGAGATTTCAGGAGGAAGTGCCTGAGAAGATAAATCCGAAATTTAATGCAACAACCAGAACGCTGGCGGGAACGAAGACACAGAACGACAAGGGTAACCAACCCCGATCGTAGGTAACTGGGAAATCAGAGACGTGTGGGGCTTCCTCTAAACCCTTCCAAACCCTGCACATCTTAGGGATTTTCCCCCCCGCGGAGGGTGACTAGTCAAAGCCCGAGCGGGAGGGCCCCAGACCTTGAGAAGGACGTTCCCACCACCACCCCTTCCCCCCCCCAGCACATCCCACCTCTTCCTACTTCGGCCAAATGGGACCACAGATGTGTGGCCCGGCAGCCCCACTACCCCCCTCCTTGGGAACCTGGGCTCGAGTAAAGTTTTTCTCACCTGCACGCGAGGCTCGGGACCCGGGGCTGTTCGCACCCGGGTGTGGGGCCGCCCCTAGCCATATGGAGTAGCTTTATGACCCGGTGGCGGCCGGATCCAAGCCGGATAAAGAATGACCTGCAACTCCACCTACGTCAACCTTTCCCGGCCACTCCTTCCAGGAGTCTACAGGCTTGCCTCCGCTCTTACAAACTCAGATACGGTCATTAGAAGGGAGAACGCTCGTTAGCATTGGTGGTTCAGTGGTAGAATTCTCGCCTGCCACGCGGGAGGCCCGGGTTCGATTCCCGGCCAATGCACTTGTTCACTTTTCTTTCCTTCCCCAAAAGATATATGAAACAATAAATGGGTTCACTTATTATTATTTTTTTTTAAACCTTGAATCATTTCCATCTAACAAAGGCAGACTTTTTTTTTTTGACTTATCTCAGAATTGAAAGTTCCAGAGAAGAATTGTGATTCCGTTTCCTCACATGCCCCTCCTCCCTCCTCCCAGCTCGGGGGTCCTGTTGTCTCCACACCCCCTTCCTCCTCCCCTTGGCCCATCCCTGCACAGGCGTGACCCTGAGAAAGTACACGGCTCCGGGCTCCCCTCCGCGGGGGTCCTCTGCGCCTCCGCGGGTGCCAGGCGAGGTCCCCGATTCTCCTCCCTCCAATCCCGCTTCCCTCCGCAGCCCTGCCCCTCCGCCCTCTTTTTCCTGTCCTTAATGACGCGCTTTCTCCCCCCCAAGGTGCTGTGGGTCTTTAGGGTCGCTAAGTGCTTCTTGGCGACTCGTTCTCACGTTCTTTCCAGGCCACTTAGCGACCCCGGGGCTCCAGTGGTCTCTGCATCTGCGACTGCCTGGAGCTGCCCAGCCCGGGCTCCCCGGCTCCGGCGCGCGCCTCTCCGCCTCGAGTCTCTCCCTGAGATCTGGTAGTCTCTCCGGGTCTCCGTCCCCGCCGGGGGCTCTCTGCGCTCCCACGCTCCGCCAGCATCCCCCCCTGGGAAGCCCGCCCGCTCGGCACCCCAGGCGCTGACGCCTCCCGGACCCACCCCTTCCCGGCGCTTTGATCCCGCACGCGCCGACGGGCGGCGGGGGGCGGCGAGGGGCGGAGGGGCGCGCCGCCACCTGCCGCGGCCACTTGGGAGCTGGACCCGCAGCCCGGATCTCCTCCACGCCGGGGCCCTCGCTTCCCGCTCTCTTCCGGCGCGCTTCGCACCCCTCGCTGCCTCCCGGCCTCCGGACTCCGGTTCGCTGAGGCTGGTCTTCTCTCCGGAGGGTCTGGATCTCGGTCCCTGGGTTCTGTCGCCAACCCTGGTCATCTAGGCCCAGGTCTGGATTGTGTCTGGATTGTGTGCTCTATCTTAGGCAACTTAAAACATTTTAAAAAATTGAATAAATAAATGAAAATTAATAAAAGATGGTAGCATCTGGAGATGTCTGTGTGCATGCAGTGGCTGCATTTGTTTATCCGCTCCCCCAGCTAGTGGTGTCTATGTGCGCATTATTGTTTAGGACTTGAGGTTACATTGGGTGTGGGTTTTCCTACACCATATATTCTAGTGAGACGAGGGCAGAAAAAAAAAAAATAACCAAGAAAGGAAGAACTCATATCGGAAATTTTCAGATGGTTACAACGGTGGCACTACTTTAGTCTTGACCTCTGTGAAGAGGTGATAAATAGCTCAGTGTAGGTCAGCCAGAAGTCCAGGCACAAGCAACTACAAAGGCCCTGAAGTAGGAAAGGGCTTTTGCTGCTGAAAACTAGTCAAAAAAGAGAAAAAAAGCAATGGATCTAGGATAGAAAAAAAATCAAAGTAATGGAAATTAAGATGAAGGGTCAAATATGGCCCATGACACCCTTTTTTTTTTTTTTTGGTCGGTCGTGGGATCTGAACTCTGAGCCTGGAGGGCCTCAGCTCTTCAGCTCAAGGCTGGCACTCTACCGCTTTATAAAGGCCCAGTATCACTTCCAGCTTCTTCTGCTTATGTGGTGCTGAGGAATCAAACCCAGGGCCTCATGCATGCAAGACAAGCACTCTACCACTGAGCCACCTTCCCAGCCCTGGCTACTCTCTTCACAGTGAGCCACACTGGGGCTTAGGAGAAGAAAACACATGTCCCAAGGTTAGGCATCAAGGCTGGCACAGGAAGGGACAAAGCCCCCCACAGCTGGTGCAGTGTCCACTTCCGCTCTCCAGGGGTAACAGCTCCCCACACTGGATTACAAGGCTTTGCTCCTCCTTCTTTAGTTCTGTAAAGAAAAGACTGCATTCTGGGACCCCCTCCCCTACCGTACCATCTCCTCCCCCTCCCCTGCCACCCACCCCCATACTAGGTGGAGAGTTCCTGGAATGTTGAGTCCTGGGAATTCAAGGGTTAAGAAGGAAGAGTACCAAGAAAAGAACCTAAGTGCTGACCTCCATGATCCAAGCGCTCCTAGTCTTGCCTTCCTCATTTGTCTTTGCTAAAAACTAACCCTTGACATTCCTTTCTGTGTGTGTGCCAGTCCTGGGGCATGAACTCAGGGACTACACACACCATCGCTGAACTTTTTTGCTCAAGGCTACTGCTCTATCAATTGAGCCACAGCTCCTCTTCTGGCTTTTTTTTTTTTTTAATGATAAATGGGGAATAAGAGTCTCATGAGGGCTGGGAAGATAGCTCAGTAGTAGAGCGTTTGCCTTGCATGCATGAGGTCCTGGGTTCAATTCCTCAGCACCACATAAGCAGAAAAAAGAAAGCCAGAAGTGGCGCTGTGGCTCAAGTGGTAGAGCACTAGCCTTGAGCTGAAGAGCTGAGGGCCAGCACCCAGGCCCAGAATTCAAGCCCCACGACTGGACCCAAAAATAAGAGTCTCATGAACTTTCCTGCCCAAGCTGTCTTCAAACCACAATCCTCAGGTCTCAGCCTCTTGTGTAGCTAATTTTACAGGCATGAGCTGCCAGTACTCAGCTTGTGGGAATATGCTTTAAGATTATTACTTAAATCACACACACACACACACACACACACACACACACACACACAATCTCACTAATTTGGTATTCATGGCTGATTTCAAATTCCAGAACTGTGTCTACAGTAA